ATTTAACACTTGAGATAATCTTATTGTCTCAACCAATTGTTTGTGATATTTCTCGTTAAACATTAAAACTATTTTTAGTAACAAATTGTTATATTTGTGTCAAAACAAAATAATTCAAAACACATGTACTATTTTAACGTTTGAAAATTCGAGTCTTGTTTTTATTTAATTAATTTCTAAAATGAATTTAAATACAAAAAATTTCGTTCTTCGGACAAAAAATAAAACAATTTTTAAAATAAGTTATTATAAAAATCGTCAATATTTTTATAATATGAGAAAATGATATTACGGTATAATTATCATAAGCTTTCAATTCACAAATCGGGAAATCGTTTTGCAGACAATTAGTGAAATTCATTTATCGTTCAGTCGATGTCCTAATGTCACGATTTCTATCGTTTCTATCTCTTCTGTCACGAGATCGTGATCTCGAGCGCTGTCTTGAGTGATGTCCCGGTGATCGAGACCGCGATCGACGTCTCCTTTGACTGCTGTTTTGGTTGCGGTCCTGATTGCGATCGGGATTGCGATCGGGATTGCGATCCGGATTGCGGTCTTGACTGCGCTCTTGATTCCGGTCTGGATTGCGGTCCTGATTCCGATCCCGAGATCTTTACAAACAAAATAAATTTGTTAATAAATGGTTAGAGTATTACAAAAAGAATGCAAACCTCGAGCGACTCCTTCGCCGTTCGGCCGGACGCCGATCGCGTCTATCGTCGTATCGCTCGCGCTCTCGGTTCCGATTGCCGTATCGATTACCTCCGTATTCCTCCCTCTCTTCAATAGCGCCGCGATTTTTCTTTTCGCTTACAGTTTGCTATCGTTTTCATAAATAATTGTAAGTAATTTTCTAAATGAATAACAATCAAAACATACTCTCAATTCCTCGAGTCTTTCGCGACTGAAATGAAAGAAAAAAGTGAATAAAATAATAAATAGGAGACAAAGAATGGCTCACATCGTAATGAATCCCAAATGCAATTTCCCGCCGAAATGGTCGGCCAGACGTCTGTCGTTGTCGTGAATTCCCAAATAAGCGGAACAAACCTCACAAACGCGGAGTTTCTGCTGTTGATAACTGGAGGCCGGCATTGAGTTCCTGTACTCCACTTCCGCTCCGCTTTTCTCTTTCTTAATCTTCTCGATCTCTTCCATTAATTTAAGCGATTCTTCGACATTGCCTTCAGCGCCGGCCGCTTCGGCTGCGGCCAACTTTTTACCGATTCCTTCGGCCAATTCGTGCACTTTATTCAACTAAAATACATACAAAACGTTAGACCAAAAACTTTTCATTAAAGAGACTGTAAGTGCCGTACTTTAGTGCCCACTTCGGCGCTCAATTCCTCTTGAGTTTCGGCCAATCGTTTTTTGGCGGCCTCTGTCTTCTTGTCGGCGTCGGCAACGAATGACTCCAAGTGTTGAAACGCCTGTTATTGTCATTAGTATTATAATGTATTAATACATGTAATCGTGAAAATCAATGTGAATAATAAACAAACAAATGAAATGAAAAAGCGTTTGAATACATGCAGAATAATGAGAGCTTCGGCTAAATAAATGGCAGTTCGAGTCAAACCATAATTTAGTTTATTCTCAGAAAAAGACAAAATAATGTGATTTAAGAACACAAGTGAAGGAAAAGGAGTTTTGAAAAACTGTTTAAACGATATATATTTCTAATGATTAATACCAAAAAACATATAAATATATATAATATTAATTAATAAATACAATGATAATAATTAGGAACCAATGGATTGGTTTAAATACGTTACCAAAAACCAGTCTTCAAATCATACGTTACCTTAAGTTAAACATAAGAGTGAACTGAGAATCTCAACCATAGTCTGTATGTTTGTATTGGTCTCTATTGTCAGCAAAAGTGCATAACTCTATTGATGGCCAATATATACATATTTAAAGTGATATTTAAAAGGACTGATTGTTTGTATATTAATTGATTTGAATACTACTCACAATCGCAACACAAAAGCGGAACACAATCTCATTAAACAGTAGACAAGAAGTTACTGTTTTATCGCTCACAACAAGTATTTGTCATTTGTTTTGGACTTTAATTTAATTTCATTTCTAAAGCGAAGACCTTTTTAAAGGTTTTAACTGTAATTTAATTCAAGAGAAGGAAAAGACGAGTCTTTACATCAATATTACTTCAAATTGCACTCAAAATGTATATATTTTTTTGTATGGATTTTTAAATTTTTGATTAATTTGTCTCTCAATTACTGTCATCTCAAGTGATTTCATCGATTATTATAATAATTCAATTCAGAGCTCGTTATTGAGACCACACTTACCATCGGTTTTGATACTCAATTAAAACGAACTCCGATTTCATTAATATATATATAAATTGTATTAAAAAATTGTAATCAAGTGTTGATAGGATGTGGTATCGAGTGTTCACTAATCAAACAAATCAATCAATACTTACGTCCACATCATAGCCGTAGTCCTTGGTTTTGGCCGCTTTCTCGTAGTCGGCCCTAAGCGCCAGATCGTGGTAACGGTTGCATTCACCTAGGTCCATTCTCTACACAATATATTGGGATCAGTTGCCGGCACACAATCGCACCAATCATGATCACTACTCACCGTCGAGGCCAGGATGTCGTGCGGACAACAGTCCAACAGAAAGCTTTTGCACACCCGATGGTCAGTGAAGTGATACCGATGTTTGGACTCATCTGCGAAGACAATCAATGGATTCATTAAAATGCATACAAATTATCGATCAAATGAGACAATACCTCCCTCTCTGGCGGTGCCCATCAGCTGATCCAACATCTGTCTCATCTGTTCGGTGGCCGACATTACTGTTGTAGCGAAGAGAGTGTCGCTAATGAATGTCAAAATGCAAGAAACGAGTGGTAAGTGATTGAGAAGAGAGGATCTGTTGTCCAAATAATAGGAGACAATAAATGGCGAAACAATTGTAACGACAATAAGTATTGACTCCAATGGCCGACAGATGGCAACACATGTCTCCACTTTTCACTCATTTGTTGTCATTTTTGAGATTTTATTTATTTTTTATTTTATAATTAATTGTTTTTTGTATTAATTTTTTTGTTGCTTTATATTTGATCCGAAACTGCCGAAGACGGTGTCCTCCAGAGACTGATCACTGCAGTGATGGCCAACATTCCGACATTCCTCCGAAGCGATCCCAAACTGATGCCAATCAACGACTGGGAGATGCAGTTCTTCGGCAAATTGAAGTCATATCTGAATTTAGTTAAGGATTACGAAGACCTCGCCCTCCAAGAGATGGCCAGAAGTGTCGTCCCGTGGAAACAGCTGACCATCGATGCCATCAATCAAATGCTTCAATTGAAACAAACGCTCAAAAGCGGCGATCAAGACATCGGAACCGATAGCAAAGACATACTTCTTGTCGATTTGATCCACTGGTTTAAGAATGAGTTCTTCGAGTGGTTTGATTCAGCCGTTTGTGACAAATGCCATAAAAAGACCAAAAGTGTCCGAAATGTGAGTCCAATCGGCGAAGAAGTGAAATGGAATGCAATGACAGTCGAGTTGTATGAATGTGAAGATTGCGGACAACACTATCGGTTCCCGCGCTATAACAGCGCCGAGAAGTTGTTGTCGACTCGTAAGGGGCGGTGCGGCGAATGGGCCAACTGTTTCACACTGTTGTGTCGGGCGTTGAACTTCGAGTCACGACTAGTGGTGGACTGGACTGATCACGTGTGGACCGAAGTGTACAGCAATGCCCAGAAGCGATGGCTTCATTGCGATCCGTGCGAAGGTGTCTGCGATACGCCACTCGTCTATGAGTGCGGATGGGCTAAGAAACTGACATTTTGTGTCGGCTTTTCGGCCCATGAGGTGCAGGACGTGAGCTGGAGGTACAGCAAAGACCACTCAGCGCTCCGCCAGCGAAGGGCTCTTCACTGTCGCGAGGAATGGGTGGCCGATGTGTTGACCAAAATCACGCACAACTTGGAGCTGGCATTCAGTCCGCAATTGAAAGAGCAGTTGAGACTCAGACGACTCCTAGAGTGGGTTGAGTTCTTACGGGTTCCCAATCAGGACTCAGCCCTCAAAGTCGACGAATCTAAAGGCAGACAATCGGGTTCTCAGGCGTGGCGTTTGGCCCGACAGGAGATCTCCGGCCAACAGCTGTCCGACAATTTTGCGTTTGAATTGAAGGACAATAATACGAACCCAACGCTAATCACGTACAACAGCGCCGCCGATGAATATAAATTCAACGCAAAGACATTGAAGACGTGGCAGAAGTGTGTCTTCGAGAGCGTGAATGTGATGCGAAAAGTGGAGAAAGACTGGAAGATGTGTTACCTGTCGCGCAACGAGACCAACGATTGGACGCCAGAGAAGGCGGGAATCGGCAAAATAAAGTGGAAATTGAAATTTGATAGTCATTTGCAATGGAGTGAAATTCGGATCACAATTAAGTGCAATGTGTTTGAAAACGGCAACATTGGGTTACGGCTGTACACAGACTCAAAACCCCAACAAAACTATGCCATTAAACNTCACATAATGAACGAATAGAACAACTACTGGAACAACTAGTCAGACATTGTCTTAACTCATGAGCAAAGAAATAACGCCACAAATCTAATGATATTAATACCGATATTGTTGTTGTTGTCATCAAAACTAATGTTATAATTACTGTTATTCTTAAGCGAATGCCTAAAAACTTGTTATAATTTATAACTTATAATTAATGAGAGGAATAAATAAATAAAGACACGAGTCTTTCGAAGCTTTAAAATTGACTTTAAATTTATTTGAATTTGTTTTCACAAAAATATTTGCACAATCAGTGAATTCACTGACTGATCGTCGGTCGACTGCCGGAACAGTTGCGAGTGTTGCCAACCATTACTGCCGGACCCGCCCTCGAGGACGGCTTCGATTATCACATGATCGCCGGTGAGAGACGTCTCACTTCTAGTAAATATATTCTCAACGTTTGGTTTAATGGCATAGTTTTGTTGGGGTTTTCTCAGACACATGTCGGCATTGGGTTACAACGGCAAAAGTTTGTGTAACGTGAATTAACACTAGGCTTAAAGTGAGGTAACGTTTACTGATAGTTTAAAGTTAAAGGTGAAATAAAACGGCTAAGGGCCCTTCTCTGGCGTCCAATCGTTGGTCTCGTTGCGCGACAGGTAACACATCTTCCAGTCTTTCTCCACTTTTCGCATCACATTCACGCTCTCGAAGACACACTTCTGCCACGTCTTCAATGTCTTTGCGTTGAATTTATATTCATCGGCGGCGCTGTTGTACGTGATTAGCGTTGGGTTCGTATTATTGTCCTTCAATTCAAACGCAAAATTGTCGGACAGCTGTTGGCCGGAGATCTCCTGTCGGGCCAAACGCCACGCCTGAGAACCCGATTGTCTGCCTTTAGATTCGTCGACTTTGAGGGCTGAGTCCTGATTGGGAACCCGTAAGAACTCAACCCACTCTAGGAGTCGTCTGAGTCTCAACTGCTCTTTCAATTGCGGACTGAATGCCAGCTCCAAGTTGTGCGTGATTTTGGTCAACACATCGGCCACCCATTCCTCGCGACAGTGAAGAGCCCTTCGCTGGCGGAGCGCTGAGTGGTCTTTGCTGTACCTCCAGCTCACGTCCTGCACCTCATGGGCCGAAAAGCCGACACAAAATGTCAGTTTCTTAGCCCATCCGCACTCATAGACGAGTGGCGTATCGCAGACACCTTCGCACGGATCGCAATGAAGCCATCG